CTAACAATCAGTCATTAGACACTGATGTCAGGTGCTTGAGATTTGGCACTATCTGCTTGAAGTGACTAATTACCTAATGAGTCTCTCAATTCTTGGAAGTTTGGAGAAGCAGAAGTCATCACTAGGTGCATTTTCGTTCACCTGTTTTCAAATATCACTATATTTTTGACCAAATATCACAATATCAAGAATATCTTCTGGTGCTTTTATAAAATATTCACGCAATGAGATTTTTTTTTTAAATAATCATGAGTATTTTGGATGTAATGACGAAGTGGGCAAAGGCAAACAGCTATAACATTCTGGAAAGTTCAGAAAATGTTATCACTTTATTGTAAGGCAGTCTTTTAAACCATGAAAAGATAACACTTACAATATTACAATATCCAGAATCTAAGATGTAATCTAAGATATCTCGTCTCATATCACGTTATAATGATATACTGCCCAGCTCTCGGTGTCCTAATTATCTTAAACATAAAAAACATCCATATGCTCAAAGTAAAACATTTATTTAGCAAGTTCACTGTCTTTGTCACTTTCTTTTTGTATCATTACTCCTTGTGACACAGTAATCACATCCTACACTGCTTTAGGTGATCCATTTCATGTCTGGATATGTTTTGCAGTATTCTGAGTGAGAAGATAAATGTGGGTCCTGTTCATCAGTCATTCACTCATCTCAGTGTTGATCTGCTTCATGCTCCCTTGGTTTGCATGTGGCTCATTTGACATGATATGAAAACACCATATTCTGCGCAGACTTTCATAATACAGGAATAATGGAGCTGATGCATGCCAGAGCTACTATTAAAGATCATTTCACTCTCTCTGCTCATCTTTCTCATCTCCTCACCTGTAATGAGAAGACAACGGATCAAGGACCTCTCAGTGTATCTTGGCAACAATTATATGAACTAAGAAGGCAGGAGAAGCCAGCGATGGAGAAAAGAGACAGAGTGTGTGTGTGTGTGTGTGTGTGTCAGAAAGAGAGGAGGGCCTACTCTGTAGAGATAAGATGGTATTCTCCCTTCGTGCAAAATGAGTTCATTAGGGGAGTGAGAGACAGCCATTGCTGGGAATCAAGGTTTCTGTGTGATAAAGGATGGGAGCGACATATCGGAGGGAAAAAAGAGTTTCATTTCCTGTTCTTCAGAGGCAGCGGCGGTATCAGGGGATCAGCATAGAGGCTGGGGAGAGGGAAAAAATGGAGAGACAGGGAGAGGACAGACGGAGCAAGTTAGAGAGGTAAATGCCAGGTTTTTCTGTCAGAAAAAAAGAGTGACCCTCCGGATTGCTGTCAGAACACATTTATATGGAGAACTGAGGGGAGACAGACAGAAAGAGAGTTGAAAGATATGTCAACTTCAGCTGCTCTCTGGAAAGTGGAGAGTCAAAGTGAGCTGCTGCGATGAAGTATTTGGGTTATCACAGTGCAAAAGGCTAAATAAAACCCATGAGGGATTTCTCAAAATGACAGCAACTGTAGGCATATTTGAGAAAAATAGGCCTAGTATATATGCACACACAAACACAGAGCCCGGGTTGGCTCGCCCAAATTAATATATGAAGGAGAAAATACAAAGATATGAGAGCTGGGAAAAGAGATGAAATGAGCTGCAGGTCTTGATAGACACCTGATAGTGAGAGAGGCTGGCAGGCAGGCAGCTAGGCAGATGCTGAGATGACAGGTACAGCAGAGGTGGAGGGATACGCTGGCTGTGCCACACTGTTTAATATAGATCTGCAGTGATAAGGCAAGACAGAGAACACAGGATGTGTCCATCAGTCAGGGGAAAGGAGCTCAGAGGAAATTGCTACAATAAAGCACACACACTCATATATAGGAGCAACTCCTGGCACACAAGTCAGTGTGTGGATGCACACATGGAAAGGTGCAATTAAACCCCAAAAATGTCCATTCTGAGTTTCATCTCAACACTGGCAGATAGAAGTGCTGATGTGTGGAAATGAAGAACTGAAATAATGACACCTTTCTAAAAGTTTCTTCTCGCTACCTCAGGATATACTGTGCTCTCTGGCTACATAATGTATGACTGCACATCTGTTGTACATTGGCTACAGCTCAGATGGGATGAGCTGAAGATCATCCTCTCAGCAAAACTAAAATCAAACGCTCATGCACCTTTTTTTTTTTGACCACTCGTGTGTGTGTGTGTGTGTGTGTGCGTGACCACAAGACTGTTTGCTGAAGCTGCTGATTGCAGATTTCAGTTGTGGGATTAATCAGTGGTGACAAGGAACCATTGTGCACACACATTATCTACACACACACACACACACATTGATGCAGATACACTGGTGTTGACAGAGGAACAATGATTGCCCTGACAGGTTGTGATAGCCAGAGAGAGGCTCAGTGTAACACGTGATTTCGAAGCCTCTGATTGAGACAATACTCACTTCATGCTGTTGAGTCAGTCTGCTTTTAAATCAGTCGAGTCATAAAACAGAGCAGTTCATGATGCGGTCACTAAGAATGTCATTATTGTCTGCAAACACAGTATCAGTGACACACAGAGCAGCCTCACAAAGGGCCACATTTCTGCCACTTGGATTAAAACCTATTGATCCTGGTGTAGGTCCTTGTTATAGTGATCTAGTTGTGTTGAAGCTCAACATTTTACCACGTCATTATAAAGCATTGAGTCCAGCACATTGTAGTAAATTTTGTCGCAGATTATCCAACAGATTCTGCTTGTTTCTGTCAAGACTTAAATAGTAAGTTCACCCAAATTGCAAAAAACACAGCAGATCTAATGTCGTGGTGGCCATGTTGATAGTTTCAGTTTTATTTCCTGAGGTTTTGACATAAAAAAGACAGAGAATGAATGAACTGACACTTTAAAAAGCTGCAAAGACTATGAAGAAATGCCAACATTATGGGCCTGCTGCAGATATAATGACAAGAGCTACTGTAAGTAGCTACAGTGCTACAGTGCAGCAAATCAAAGGTTGATAGAGGGTTGTTTGGAGGCTGTCTCACTGTTACATTGTTTGACCAAGAGTTTTTTGGGCTGTGGGACATCCTGTGTGTGCATGTCTTGGCTGCAGTTCTTAATAGAATACATCTTAAGAATCCTTAAAATATGTCTGAGTGTGTCATATGTTGTAGAATCCTGTAAAGGTCATTACAGCATCGGCTCAGGCCTTGCATGTATGTTGACGCACGTTTTCTGACATGGCTGGCCTGTAGATTATCAGTAATGTTGTAGGTGGGACTTATTTTAGCTAAGTCCCGCCCCCATACGCAGGCTGACCAATCACAGCGGCATTCTCAGACCAGGGTCGACAGCAACACAGCTGTGCTCCATTTACTCAGATTTCCTTCCTTTTCAGGTTGGGTTTGTGGATTTGGAGCTAAATGTTGTACCTGGGGCACGTCGTGTATTAATGATACTCATTACCTGGAGAGGTTGGAAAAAGATATACATTTCTTCCCTGTTCCAAAACCCAAATCAAACCCTGAGAAGTGTTGGGTTAGCTAGCTAACTACTGAAGATTTAGCCTACTGAACACATGCTGCTTTTGCTTTTTAATGATTATAACAGTGGAAAAAAGACCGACCCTGCTGCACAGGAACCAGTGAAGGGAAGGTCCTGGAGATCCCTGCTTAACTTAACCCACAGCTTGTTGGACCAACTCAAAGGGGCGGGGCTTAGCGAAGGGCCACTTAATTAGAGTCCTGAGTCAAGTCCAAAACTTTGAGATTAGATTCCAAAAAAGTCATTAAGCACTCTTAATCAAATGCCATGCCATTTTAACAATAGCGTAATGATGTTTAAAATTTACAACATCATAAATGCTTTTGTTGTATTTCAGCGACTTGTTAGAACAAGTGGGTCGAAACGTTAGTAAGCTGTTAAGCTAATGTTAGCTACGTGTTAGCTTGCTATGATAATATTGGTGTTGACTTGCCATTCTTTGCACAACTTAAAATGTTGCATGAAGTTGGAAGTAGTTGCGTCTCTAATTTTCAAACCCACATTTTGCATACTGCAGTTTGCTTTTGTAAACATGTAGTTTTTGTCATAAACAAAATTATCCTCAGTTTAATTTTTTCCAACTTGTGCTCAGTACAGTGTGCTCTGCAAGGTGACCTTGGGTGTTTTGAAAGGCACCTTTTAAATAAAATATATTATTATTTTATTATATTATTAGTTGGCTTTCTTCTGCACCTTGATTGGTTGCTGTATAAGAATAATGAATGTAGTCACTGTGATGTCGCCCACTGGTTTGTGGAGCCCCAAGCTCACCATATTTGGAGCCAGAAGTGACCATATTTGGATGAGAGGGTGGATCTGACTGAGGCACACACTCCTGCTAATTATGCCAAACATTAATAAAACATAAACAGGTGAGTTATACAAATATTCATCCCCTGTAAAATTGTCATGAACAAGAAAATAAGCGAGAGACCAAAATTATTTTTGTACCAGGCTGTAAACAAATGTTTATTTCTGCTGTAAAGTTGGTCATTGTAACATGGAGTCTATGGGGATTGACTTGCTTCTAGAGCCAGCCTCAAGTGGCCATTAGAGGAACTGCAGTTTTTGGCACTTCCGCATTGGCTTTACTTTTTAGCCTTGGAGGTTGCTGCTTGGTGCAAAAAAAAAGTGGATCACTTGGGGCATTGGTGTTGACTTGCTGGGATAAATAGGGTTAAAATTAGTTGTTTCAGGAAATAAACAACATACTTTATAATATTCGGGCTTGGGGGAGTGTAACAATATTTTCAAGTCAACAGGTTCAAGGCCAAGTGAAGTCCTGAGTCACTGGTGTTAAAAGTCTGGTGGAATTGTAAGTCTTTTTTTATTTGTCAAGTCTAAAGTCATCAACGTTGTGACTTGACTCCGACTCAAGTCACAATTCAAGGAAAAAATAAAATAGTATGTTGACCTTTTAAAGGCTGAAATACATGAAACAACACTGACAAATTAAAGAATCAACTAACAAACAACAGGGGTTATTTATTTCCATATATCTTTATTATCTGTTATTATTATTTCCCATATATTTATATATCTTTATTCTATACAGGTGTATTTCTCAATACAGTCTTTTATTGACATACATAGATCTTACATAAGCTTGAGAGGTACGAGAAAGAGAGAGAGGCAAGACTTCCTTCATAAGATATTTTGGCAGTTAAGACAACAGGAGATCACATTACAGACACACGCACACGCACACACACTTGAAGTACAGTACACACACACACACACACACACACACACACACACATCACGGCATGCACACATAGGTTGAACGCCTCTAATCCTTTTTGCACAACCATCCATTCGTGCACCGACTCACTAAGGTGCATGCACACATTCACACATGGAGAGAGGAGACAGGTATTCACAGGATAGATTACACCAATACCAGACTGACTAGTAAATACACATGTAGAGGAACAGTACTCGCCCATATTTTAACTCCTGCTCCTGCATACACTCTCAGAAACACACACACAGGCACATGTGCACACACGCACAAACGCGCTTGTTTTTTTTTTTTTTTTGGTAGAAAGTAAAGAGCAGTAATGCTGATTTTCAGACTATGCCATTGATAATGTTATTAGCTCTGATCCATATTTGGTTTCTATTACTGACAATTATGCGGTGTGACAACAGAGTGAAGAATGTCACTGTGATTAAACAAAGACCATCAGCACGATGTCGTGAAATGTCACATGTGATGTTTGTCATGCTGAAGTGTGGGAGGTCAAAATGACAGCAATGATACATTAGAAAATAAATACACATTTTATATTGCAGTTATAAGATGAATACACTCCGGTGGTTCTGTCTGTGATCCATTTTATCCACCTGACATTATAATAGTCTTTTTTTTTCCTCACACGCACACACATACACTCAGACATACACACACTCATGTCACTACCAGACAGTGCTTCACAGTGTAGGGAACTCGTTGCAAATCTGTCATCCATCCGAGATGCCACCAAATAAACACAGGCTGACAGTGAACACAACGAAACGACAGCTACAATATTGAAACATCTTTAGAAATATGAACAGAACAGATATCATATATTTGGCTTCAGTAACAGATACCTGAATTTTGCTACATATTTTAATGCATAACTTAACAGCATAATATGGAAATGTAAAGAGTGAGAGGGTTGAAATGTAACTAGTCTTCCTTCTTCAACTGATTTCACTGTACAGTATCTGCAGTTTATTGTCTACGTGGACATAGATTGTATCATACTTTCTATAACTGTATAAAATATTTCCTACAGCTGTATAACCTGAAGAAAAGTTGGTCACTTAATAACTCAGGTGACAATGGTGAGTGGACATATAGAGAGAGGATGCTGAGGATATGGAAGCTAAACTCTGAGTTTGTAACACCAGAGTACTCAGAATCAGCATGAAGGAACCAAACTTAACAAAGCTAAGTAAAGCTACTGCAGCCTGGCTCCACCTAACTCCACCACTATTTCTACATCTTGGTGCGAGACAGCTAAAAACGAATGTAGGCGATGTCTGAAAAAGAGGCAAAGATGGTGAAAGGTAGCCCCCTTGTCCTGTGGTTGTGCAGTTTGTCCAGAAGAGGGTGCTCTGTGTAGCTATAGTGGCACCGTCCTTTGGTCAGGGTTTGGTCAGACTGCGTTGGTGACAATGAAGTCTCTGTGTTGGTTGTTGCTGGGCTCTGGAGTGACACTCTTTAACAGACGCTGTGAATACAGAGACAGAGGCAGACAGAGGGAAGAGATAACAGGCAGAGAAAGAAACTGAGGAGATTAAAATGATATAAACCAACCACTTTAACTGGAAACTGGCAAGAATTAAACCACAAAGCAGGTCAAAATATTCCTGTGCCACTAATGTTACTGCAGTTTTGGCTGACTTAGTCTTTGTCGGGTATAATAGTGACAGGAGCCATTGTCCTTTTGAAGATCTATGTATCAAATATTGAAGGACTGATGTTGTATTTGACCTCAATAGAATGAGGCCACCTGATGTCCACACATGCCATTTGAATAGCTTGTGGATACTATATGAGATAGTACCCACAAGCTATTCAAATGGGCTGCAATTAATGAATATTTCCATTACAGATCTATTTGCCAACTCTATTTTTTTATCTGTCGATTCATTGTTTTGGTCTATACAATGTTCAAAAATAGTAAAAAAAAAAAAAAAATGTCCATTGTGATTCCAATACTTGTCTTGTTTTGTCCAACCAGTCTCAAAGATATTTGATCAGGCAACATGTCTGAACCCAGCATTAGAAAGAATTCACATTTTAGAAGCTGTAACCATGAATGTTTGGCTTTTTTTTTTTCAAATGATTATCCGATTATTGAAATTGTTCCAGATTATATTTTGTTGATCTAATTATCCTTCTGTTTTAATCTCAAACACACCTCACTTGATCAAAAGCATTACAGAATCAGAAAGGAAGTTTACAGGAAAGTAAACAGACAGATGACAAACGCACAACCAACAGTCTTGCTACAAAGAGACACTGACATTTTGCCCTCGCTTGGCCTCATCTGTCCGTATGAGTAACACTGACACCGTCTTCTTTCACACTTACACGCACACAAAAACACCACTCCCCTGTGTTGACAGTGTGTTTCAGGGTCATTGTGTGCCCTGGCAGCAGTGTCAATACTGGACAACAGCCAGAGATGTCTGTCTCCCAGCCTCTTTGATGTCCTTCTACCTTCTGTCAACTCTAACAAAGAGGATTGCAAGATAATTATGATCTTTAATTAATGATGACGACATTTTGTATTTGATTTTATAATGTAAGAAAAATTCAGGTGATGCTTAGCAGACAACCTGTCTCGAACACATTTTAGAGAGTAGTTTTGGAAGTGATGCTGCTTTGCTTCACTTAGTTTGTTACGCAGGGTGTTCTGATGCCAAAGCATCAGATGACATAAGCCCGGTTTCCGTCAGTTTAGCCTTCATCCTCAAATCTGGCAACGTGACAGCCGACATGTGTGTTGCAGACTGTGGATGTGTCTCTTTAAAAGTGAGTGTTAGGTGCGTGTCAGGTAATGCCCTATGTGTATGCATGTGTGTGTGTGTGTGTGTGTGTGTGTGTGTGTGTGTGTGTGTAACATCTATGGTGCCTGGAAGTTGTCACGACTTTTTTCTTCGCTAATCTCTGGCCTGTGCCTTCTCCGTGCTCCTTTGATCCTGATCTCCAGTCATGTGTTCGCTGCAGAGGGCAGACCCTGACGGTGCATGGAAAGGAAAGGAACAGAGGCAATCCCTGTTGTTGGAGAGGTGTCAGCAAGAGAACAAAGGTCTGGTAGGGATATGGGTGAGCAGAAGGAGCGCAGAGCAATGGGACATGTGGGATGAACGAGGGGAAACTCAGAAGATACACTTGAATGGAAAGGATAAGGAAAGAAATGTTGTACCTGTTTGAATGTGCCCTTGGCATTCAGCAAGTGGTAGACCATATAAGCAGGCACACAGATGAATGACGACACTCCGATGCAGTAGCCCAGGACAGTGGTCCATGGCGGGTAGTGGTAACTGAACAACCTGACCTCTGGAGGGAAGGCCAGGAAACTGATGATGATGAACTGCACAAAGGAATGGGAACAATAGCAGAGGTCAGATATAGCAAGGATCATCAAACATGAGAATAAATATGACAACAAGTGTCTAAGTTTGTATGTGTGTGTGTGTGTGTGTAGATATTGTACATGAGCCTCACAAGCAGAAAGCAGGGGCAGATGGCCACCCAGCACACCCTCCAGAAACCACCCGGGTAGAAACCAAGCATGAGCTGGATGTCATCACAGAAACGGTTGGTACCTGGAACACACACACACAATCACAACAAAGTCCCAAATATCAGGAGTGTGTCTTAATGTCATTTCTCTCATGCGTCTGTGACTTGAACTGCACAGAGAAAACAGACACAGAGCTGAGGACATCACAGTATCACTATAAGTCTGCACCACCACAGCTTCTAAATCTCCAACCAACTCTTTTGCTGTAATTTGCAATGAGGTTACAACTTAGTCATCACTATCATCATGCTCAATAGCTCAAACTTACCATAGAACCAGGAGACGGCGATGACTTCAAGCAGGACCACAGTGATGACTGCAGGGCCTGTAGCATACTCCTCAAACAACTTCACCACAAACGCTCCTCCCTGACACGGAAAAGAAGAGACACGGGGGCATCTGTGAAGCTATTCAGAAATCACTCTTGCGCAATCTGAAAGGTCTATGACAGTGACACTCAACTTACAGCCTATAAGGTGCCAGGTGGCCCCCCAACAATTTTCTAATTGTTAAATTAAATTTGGTTTATAAATACCAATATCACCAATCACAATTTGCCTCAGAGGGCTTTACAACAAATTACATCCTGTGTAAATGTAAATAAGGTACCAGAGTGCATATAAAGCATCAAAATAGAGCTTCTTCATCCAAAAGAGTGCCAGGAGAGGATCCCCCCAGACCCCCCAACAGAGATCCAGGCAAAGCCCTGAATGTCCTCAAATCCTAGAAACGCCCCTGCATACATCTGACCTGTGTGGGGCCCCTTTCATTTTACAAGTTGAGCATCCCTGGTCTTAGTGATTGGGGAAATTGGTTTTGGATTGGAGATAAACGGTTACTACTCAGGGGCTTCTGATTTCAGCTTATTGTCTACTGCGGTCCATCACATTACTTAAAACACAACAATAACATTTAAGATACTTTTGATCAACACAAACAACATTTTTGGTCAATAATATATTTGAATAGACATTATATGAAGTCTTGAATTATTGTTTCTTATTTATGACAGATGATCACAATATAACCATTTAACTGCGGACAGTCAGGTGGGATAAATCACAGATTTACATGTAATATTAGAGGTATTTTTAAATCTAATTTGGCTGAGGATGATGTTTTCATGATAGACCTCATTTTGATATTGCAGCAAAGGGCCAGGATTGGAATCAAACCCGCGGATGCTGCAGCAAGGACATAGCCTTTGTACTTGGGACTTGCATGCTCTACCAACTTACAAATAACTTACATATGTGAGTGTGGAGAGAGCCCCGAGGTAGCAGACGCACACCAGGCCGAAAACAAACCACTCTCGTCTCTTAGCCAGGACATCGGGGAACTCGTCTAGCATGGCTGTGATCACTCCCTCCAACCCTGCAAACTGGAGAGAGGAAGACAGCAAGGAGGTGAGGGAGAGAAAAATAATCAGAGAACTCATCGGAGGGTGCATGAGAAAAACCAGGAGACGTTATACTGTACATATACCCTCGTCTGAGAGCTTTAGGAATCTAAATGCTACGTGTTGCTAATCAGTGATTTGACAGTCCCCATTACACTGATGAAAAACATCCACAACCATTGCACGATGACAAAAAAATGAAGAGACAAAATATTAAGCCAATCCTACATGAATCCAAGTACAGCGACACGTTCTGCTGTAATATCCTCAGTCATAACATCGAGGAGCATAGCAACCTCCAATGCTGATTCCACACTGATTATCAGGACGTGATAAGAGCCTTGTGGGTCTCTCCAGCTGGCTGCCTCAGAGCAGATAAACACAGGCTTATGGAGACAAGATCACCACACAACAGTGATATGAAAGTCCTATCACATTGTTTTTCGCTGACTGTTATCCAGCGAGGACAAATAATACCCGACACCTTTATGGAGCAACGCGTACAACAAGCAAATGCAAGTCAAACAGAACAAGGCTTTTGCCTATATGACAAGGCAAATATGAAACCTTTGTTTCTAGGTTTGTGAGAGCACACAAGAGCCGGGGACAAGGCAACAACAGAATCAGGTAGATTACAACGAGGAGACAGGAACATGTGAGGACATAAAGAACATTTAGCAAGCCGAACATTGACTCGAGTGTCCTAACTTTTCATTGAAATACTTAATCGACGAACTAACCGTGCTGTCCAGACCCAACATAATGATCATGAGGAAGAAGATGATGGCAAAGAAGGTAGCAGCAGGCATATTTGCAATGGCTTCTGCATAAATGATGAACAGCAGACTGGGGCCTGGAGAGGAGAAAGAGGCAATTAAATCTGAATCATTTGTATTTTTGTCCAGAGCAACAAATGTGTGCAGTAGGTCCTTCTTTCAATACTCTGTGCTAACTCAATGTCAAAGCATATCCTATGTAAAAATTCAGATAAATTAAATATAGGTTGCACTATTCTTATTTCCCCAATGATGTGAGACTGAGTAAAGAATTATGTATTTGGGATTGTGTTGGTGCGTTTTTCTACCAGCATCCCTGGCCACATCATTCACATCCTGCTGCCGCATCTCAGCCATGTAGCCCAGCACGGTAAAGATGACAAAGCCAGACAGAAAGCTTGTCAGACAGTTCACAGAGCTGGTGACCAAAGCATCTCTGAGGTAGAGAAATGAGAGATTTGGGGTCAGGAAGTCTACAGAGTTAGGGAGAATGTATGTACTGTTGGAGTCTTGTGATATCGGCATGTTATTGTTCCACCTGGATGTTGACACAGGTATTTCTAGATTTACTAATAATTTTGTTGAAAGATTTAAAGGAGTTTTGGGAAGGTGGAAAAACCCCTGAAGTAGCATTTGGCTCATTAAGCAAGTAGGTGCCGTCTTAGTATAAATTATATAATAGTGTGTTTAAAGGGTTCTCACTTGTAGCAGTTGTTGTGAAACGGGTTGTAGCTGGCAAAAGCAAGGAGCACGCCGAAGCCCGGACCCAGTGAGAAGAAGATCTGAGCTGCTGCATCAATCCAAACCTTAGAGCGAGTGTAAGGTTGGACAGTCAATGTTAGGGCAAGAAGTTTGCACAAATATAATAGCAACACAAACATTTCACACTGAGAGATCAAGGACAGCCTTGCTAGATTGCACCCACTGACTTACTGTTGTGCTAAGCAGTTTCTCCCAGTCAGGTTTGAGATAGAAGACCACACCCCTCCAGGCCCCTGGCAGAGTGGCTCCACGGATGAGCAACACAAAGAGGACCAGGTAAGGAAAGGTAGCAGTCACCCAAACCACCTAATGCAGAACAGAGGAAGAAGGATTCACTCAGTCATATCAGCTGATATCCACTCATACTTAATAATCACTCTGTGACTTCCTTTCTAAGCAAATTTTCTACCCATGATGATGAACGATAGTGAGGGCGAAGAGATGACAGGAGAACCAGCATCTTTCTCTCTGCCTCTCTGGCTCCATCAATCCATCCATCCATCCATTCACTCTAACTGACACTCCCATTAGCCATGCAGGCGCCCCTTCGGTTACCTTTCCAGACGTCTTGACTCCTTTCCAGATGCTGAAGTAGACGATGGTGAAGATGAAGAGCAGGCAGAGGGCCAGCTGCCAGCTGACAGAGCCCAGCTGGTGCAGACCCGGGGAGAGGTGGACCTGCAACACCTGGCGACTGGGGGGAAGAAATGAGGCAGAAGGGATGTTGGGATTGAGAGGTGAGGTCAGAGGGGGCGCAAAGAGGGAGACATGGTAAGGAAGGAGGGGGTGGGAGAAGAGGAGAGGAAGGAACAAGGGGAGGAGAAGAATGTGCAGAATAATAAGAAGTGACAGAAAAGATAAGAGAAAGTAAGAAAGGATGTTGGGAGATTTGGATAGTAGAGAAACAGGATAGGGCATGGAAAACAGAAGAGGTGATAGAGGACAGAACAGCAAGAAAAAAAAACATCCAAAGGTAAGAAAAGGTGCAAACAGGAGGGAAAAATAAAGGCATGAAGAGGGGAAGGAGTAATAAAGAGGGCAAAAGGGGAAATAGAGGTATAAACTCTTTGTACAATATGAGAACGATAGAGTCCGGACAAGTAAACATACAGACATGACACAGATTAAATAAGAAGTAATGAAAGTTCACGTAAGGGAAACAATACAAAATGAGAGAGCCTTGACTGACTTTATAGCAAATTAATGTCAATAAACAAAGTTTACACAAACCTAAGTGAAAAAAGGGAGGCTGAAATGAACAGCGAGGTTAAAATCTGGTCACAGGTTAAGCACACAGAGCTTGGCCAATAAAACAGAGATGTGATTTATGTTGAAAACAGGAAATTCTGGCGCCAGACTGAGTTGCGGAATTTGTTACTTTAAAACCTGTATTAGGAAAAGTCAACTATGGATAAACCCTGAATCTGTCTCAGTGGACAGATACAGGCATGGTCTAGTGAGCAGCTGATAAGACTGAGCCAGTAGGCTGTAGAGTCCCAAAGCTGTCAGGAATAAGGAAGACATTGTTCTGACACAGCTCAGGTTTTACGTTTCATTAAAAAACAAAACAATACCAAGCTTGACTAAATTGAGTGACCTAATTTCTGTGAAAGCAGCTTGCCAAAGATTGTTTAACACTTTGGATTATATAAATAATCAGTTTAAATTTCATGTCAGATTTTTTTTATTTTAAATAAAAGAGCATATTTGTATCTTGGGGATTCAAGGAATGAAAATGTTAAATTCTGATCCAAAGTTGTCTCACTACCTTCTTATCTATTTTTTTAACCCTCTAATAATCCAAAAAGCCTCCAGCTTTTTCGCCCTCCCTCCTCCCTCCTCCTAAACCTGCTTCTTTAAATAAAGGGCTAGTTCATATTTTTGGCATGCTAATTTAAAGTGAACTGAGAGCATTCTTTTTTTTTTTTTTTCCGTAAAATCAAGCACACATTGTTTGCTACTCAACAGAAGTGAAAACAGAATCTCACTTGGCAACTTACAAACCTGTCAGTTAAAAGTAAAAAAAAAAAAATTTTATTACTTTTTTGCCATTTAATTTGATAACACTGTAGGACATAACTGACCCCTGATTATCTGCATACTAATGTTCATATATTTTACATGCTTCAGGTTTTCTGTAAAACTTGTTATTATGTATGATTCCCTGAAGCCGTTGTGGAAGCGTGACCAGGGGGTAACACTTAGCTCTGCCGACAGGACCAAAATCTGCAAGGGGATCTTTCCGAAGTGCACTTCTATTTCTTTACATGAGCAAATTTAAAAATTTTTCATAGGATTTATTATACACCCGTCCACCTCCAGAACATGTTCCCAAACAGCTCAAACCTTTGTGTTAAATGTATAACACACAAAGGTACATTTGTATATTTGTATAGGTACATTGGTTCTGGTCATATCCAAATATTTTGGAAAGAGGTTCATTCTGTAATTCAGGAGGTTACAGGCAAACAGTTCTCACTGACTCATTTGTTCTACTTGTTTTATCTCTGTTAAATCTCTGTTAACAAAAGTGCATCTTGCTGCGACGGTCTACTCCACAGGTCCCCACGGCTGACATGTGGTTATCACAGATATCAGCTGTGCTTCCTCTGGAGAAACTGACTTATGATCTCAATAATAAATTGGATAGGTTCTGACAACTTTGGGAACCATTACACTTTTTCCTCCAAAAACTCTGACTTGCTTATCCCTGGAGGGCAGTAACTGATTGCTCCATCAGTCGATGTCAATATCACATTGCTGTACAATCTCTCTTTAAAAACAAACAAAAAAAAAACCTCATCAGCTTATTCATTTTTAGTTGTAAAATACTGCAGCGTTTGTTCTTTTGGGGTGGTTTTTTTATATGGATATTATTTTCAATACTTTTCTGTCTTGTCTGTCTTTATGTCTTAGTGTTGTTTATGTTGGTTTGCTTTGTTTGTTTATATATCTATATACTTCATTTGAAAAATCTAATAGAAAGAAAGGGAAAAACATGTTACTATATATTTAATATGGCATCTATGTAGTTTGCAAAACATAAAATGCTTTAACCACAAAGTTAAACAGAAAGCTTTCATCATTCTATGTCACCGTCACACTGAGGCTCCACCTCCTAATTATCATCCAAGTGATTTCTCTGGGATTTGTTTACAGGCTTTCCTATCATATGATCATCATCTTAGCTGAAGAATATGCAAACCTTATCTGTCATTTCAGTCTGTGAAGCTACTCAGCTTTGCTCCTTCCACCCCACCAACACCACTGGTGTCGAGGCCCTATCTATAGCTCTTATTGGCTGCTATTTATAGAGATGTATTCCCACAAATCCAATTGACAGGGTCAACGCTAAGGTCTATCAAATAAAGTCTATCAGATAAAGCTTCTGCATTCTCATTAACTTGTGTTGTCTTTCCTGATTGAATGAAATTCTATCATCCATATGAACTCCTCCACTGGTACAAATCTTCAGCTTTGAATTTTGTGTGTATCTTCAGTTAACTATCACAGTAAATATTATGAGTGAGGATATTTTACATTTTGTTCTTTACGTATTACTTCTGTATCACTCCTGTCCTCCTCCTGAACAATCTCAGATGAGATCAGTGGTTCTTATTATGAAATCCTGATAAGGTCTTCCTTGATACAAGTGGATTTTGCAGAGAGGGCTGGTGGTAAATCTGACAGGACTCCTTAAACACCAGAACCAACCCTGTAATCGCTCTCTGGAAGTCATCCTCCCTCCTTCACTTGACGTCTCCCTTCTGCGTTAGCTCTCCCCCTACGCCTCTACATCCGACTTACATGCACTTACGTATAGAACTCCTCGGCAGGGGAGGTGGAGGAGTTGGACCATGACACATTGTGGTCGGTGGACATGTAACGGTTACAGTTGGCTGTGTTCCAGCTGTTGGAGCAGGTGGTCCAGGGCAGTGTGGGACGAAATGATGATAGTAGATAGTACAAGGCCCAGGCCATGATGGTGTTGTAGTAGAAGGCGATGTAGAGGGCTATGATGCAAATGGCAAAGCCAATCCCTGGATGAGTGGAAAAAACATTGAGTTAGCACAGAAATAAGAGTTAAGGGACCGTACTTTATTTGTCAGAGGAGGGGGTGGCTGGGCTGTGACTTTGTATTTTTTTTTTATCTTGAACCTTCCCAGAGCTAATAGCAAAATGTGCGTTTAATGACCGCTTTCCCAAATTAATGACAACATACACAACAGTGGCAGCAATTGGTGGAAGCATTTGTTGCACATGATGTGTTTTGATAGTTTCTGTTTTCACTATGGTTATATAGTTAAATTTTAGCAATTTATTAAAAAAACCCATACATTTCAAACCCACTTGCATTTTTAGGGTTCTTAAGTCATTTAAAATAAACACAAAATACATTCATTTTAAGTTAAATGTGCCTCCTTTAAGCCCAAAAAAAAAAACCAAAAAAAAAAAACAAAAAACGACATAACTCCCTCCCTCGTGCTTAAAAAAATGGTTTGGAGTGCCTCCCGTTTTGCACCACCCGCTCCCCTCTCATAAATAACAAACAGTCCCTTAAATAAACTATCTTGATTATAAACGTTACATCTGCGTTTTATTAAGAAGAAATTATGTTGCATAGTATGTGGCACCAGTCAGTCAACCCCTTGAAGAGACATCAGTGGTGTTGTCGAGCTAATTCAAGTTGCTACTGGGTAAATAGGTGACATTTCCCAACAACAACAACAACCAGCACACTATCACATTTCTGAGCATCTGGCATTTGGCATGGAAATGTGACAATTTCCATAACAGAGAGTCAGTATAACTCATTAGATGTACAAGACGCTCGGGATGCTCTTCAAGGCAGAGTACCGAGGGGGACAGGGAGGTGAAATAAGCTGTCTCTCGGCTTGACACTGTCCTTCTTTGCCTTTTTTTGTTCTCCTACTGCCAATTTTCCTGATAGTAAGCGCTGTTCTCTCATGTTCTCGTCTTAGCTTTTAATCCAAGCTATTGCTATTGACTCATTTCTCCATCTGTTCTGTTTTCTCTCCGCTCCTCTTGTTACCTTTGAAGATGGGGCAGATGTGTTTCCAGATGGAGATGCAGCCGCTGCGGTGGAACTGGCCGAGAGCCAGCTCCATGTAGAAGAGAGGGACGCCTCCAAACACCGCCATCAACAGGTAGGGCAGCAAAAAGGCACCTGGGCAGAGACACAAGGACGGACGATGTTTGGGAATGATAGAGGGAGAATGTAAGAGTTGGAAACAAAAATGTGGGGATGGATGTGGAGAGTATGAAAACAGTGGGGGGGCGGGGGGAGAGGGGAAAATAAGTTATGGACGAACAGTAAAAAGTCAATTACACTCCTGAGAAATGCTGCTCGTTCACACTCCATCTGTAGTCTCAATAGTCCCCTTAATAACTCCTGATAAACAAGAACCGAGAACATTAAAAAGCACTCTGTAAAAATCATCAAATATTCTAAGTACCCTATCATTTACATAACCTTAGTCCATTCAAAAACAACAGTGCGTGCTTGCCCAGTTTCATATACCACTCAATTTAATATGTGGAAACACGCAGTGAGAGGGTCATTGTGTTTAAATTCTACAATGAGAGATTAGGACTACTGCGATGTTGGCTGCTAAGTGAGGAAAGTATAAAAGTGATGGAGGGAGAATTAGAAGGCCAAACACTGAGAAGCAGCAGGATGGCAGCCAGATCTTTGAACTCTCCAACCTAACGTGCAAAGTTTGATAACACATCTCTTTCTTTCTTTCTATCTGATTATCAACTTATTTTGCATGCGTGTGTGCATCTGTGTATGTCAGTGGGTCGGTGTGTATCTCGTGTCTGTGTGACATGAAATCAAAGATAAGGGCTGATTGAGCAGCTGCCTGGGCGACAGGTTATTAAGCAAGGAGAAAGGGACTGAAGGCGTTCTCATAAAAACCCACAATTAATAGTGTTGCCTCTATCAAGTGTCTCCCGGTCCCCATCTCTACCTCGCTCCGTGAGACACACACAGAACACAGGATATTGCAAAGATTTTATTATTGCAAATTCAATAAAAGTGGAAAGGGAGGCCCTGTTTGCCGCTAGGTGAGGGTTGTGTAGTAACAGAGCACATGCAGACCACACAGACTCTGTGAAAACATACGCTTTCCTTTTTGTACCTTGAATTGTGCAATAAAAGCGCTGAATCATAAACAAGTACTTTACTGTAACTGCAGCATTCCTTATAAGTCTACGCCCTTTTTTATTTCAGTTTTGCAGAAATTATGACATGCAGAGATAGTCTCCATCTACCTCCATCTTTAATGATGGAAAAAGTTACAGGGCAGTTAACGGACTCACTTTAGCTGCTGCATATACTTTAAATTATTATTAATTTACCGTACACGCTGCAGAATAATTAGAACCACAAAAGAGCCTTCTCTTCTTTCTAATCCTTGAAATCCTGTTTACTCTAGCATGGGATCTCCACCCCTCCCCACTCCTTATCTCCCTCTACCTTCTCAAACATCTTTTGCCTCCTCACCTCCTCCATTTTGGTAGCAGATGTAAGGGAAGCGCCAGACATTTCCCAGGTCCACAGCGTAGCCGATCACAGAGAGCAAGAAGTCCATCTTCTTGCTCCAGGTTTCTCTGGGCCTCTCCAAGCTGGTTTGTTGGACCACCAGAGTCCTGAGGCCTCCCAGCGGCACTGAGGACCCAGTGCCTCCTCCAGGCCCGGAGGCTGTGCCTCCAGAGCAAGCTGCGCTCCCCGGCCCCTCCCTGGGGCTTTGAGGGGTGGATGTGGTGAAGCCATTGGACACCTGTTGTCCAGAGCCAGAGGTCAGGTTCTTGGGTCCCCTCTCTGCGAGACCGTCAGCCAGCACCAGTCTGCCATTTTCCTGCTGTGTCCCCTCCTCTTCTCTCCCCACATCCTCTCTCCCTTTCTCCCTCTCTCCCTCATTCTCCCCTTTGTCCATTGTCAACATGCTTGTCAGCATCATATCTTTTGTCTCCATTGGGTCGTGTTGATGTTGGTGTTGGCGAGGTGGTTAGGGGTGGAGAGAGGTTCTCAGTGACAATGAAGGGAATGTGGCACTGCTGTCTGATATGGCGCCCATTAGGGGAACAGAGGGGTAAGGAAAGCAAAGGAATAGTGCAGTGGTGTTGTAGTGACAAGTTTGGCAGAAAACAGGATTGTCCTTCTCGAACAGGTAAAGGAGACGGGGAGCAGGGGGGCAGAGCTAAAAAAAGAGAATGAGGCCTGAATGAGGGGAGGCGTGTGTATGTGGGAGAGGACCGAAATGTTTAAGAGTCTGTTGAGAAGGAAGGAATAAGAGCAGGCGGCTAGGACAGACAGAGGAGGGTACACGAGAGGAGAGATGTATTTGAACAGGATGTGGCCAGCAGCAAAGTTACAAGAATTTTGGATCTTTTCCACAAACTGCTTGTCCTCTGAGACACTCAGTGATGGGGCAAACTGCAACACACACAGAAAATCCACAGATAAGTCACAGGAAAAGAGATACTTAGCTCAAAATGACTTTTAAGTGAACCCATGATTATCCTGTCTCTCTTTCCACATGACAAAAAGTCTTGTTTAACATGTTCTACCTAAAGTTTTATTGTAAATCAAATTAAAACAGACATCATGGGAGACTGTGAAATATATTTGAGTGGTACACATTGAGGGGGTTGTGTTGGGACATGCTGATTTTCTCAGCTTTTCCTAATGTTTCTCATTTCACGCTATCTCCCAGTTGCATAACTTGTTTCAGTATTTATCAGATCAAAGCCGTTTAATGGGCAGAAATTAGAGAATAAACACACGCAGCAGCATTTTCAAGGCAGGAAACACAAGAGAAAACTTGAAAGACAGAAAACTGACCCATGCGGATAAAGACGTTCTCTATTTTTGATTGCTATAAAATAGAAAATTCTAATGCAAAAGATTTAAAATTAATCAATTATGGATCACATACAAGTTTTTTTGCTCAACAGGTTTGCCCTCATTTTTTCATGCACTTAGAAGACAACATATTAGTAAAAAAAAATAATTATTTTAACTTGTGGCTTTGAATAAATTCCAAAAAGGCTACGTAAAATGTATATGCTTGACTACTTTCAATGAGTATAATTAGACTTCAAAGTTAAGACGAATGCAGCACATTTAACCCCCTTATTTCTTAATAAAATGCTAAGTTCTAATTACTTGATAAAAATATAATTTAAACACAAAACCTTTGTAGAATTATACATCTATCATTTTGCCAGTTTTGTACATTATGTGAGAGGTAAATGAGATGCTTGTGTTTTATATTAAATACTTTTTATACTCAGTACAAATGTTCTATAGCTGCTTTTTAAAACACTTAAATTGGTTTTAAACTTAGCAACTAAGAGGGCTGCTATGTATGGATAAAAATTAAACTTCAAAGAACAGTACAGCCATTCAACATACTCAACAATCCAAAATGCTATCACATGAGTAATGGGTCAAACTGTGAGAGCCGTTTAAAAGTGGATTAGATTGTTTATAGTGCTAGTTCAATTAGTAATGAATGCCAGAGTATAGGAAGACACAATTTACATGGAACCCCATTATCTTAATTAAGAACGAGTGTCCAGCAGTTTTACACGGCACGACATTCACTCCACACTAACATCTGACTACCATGCAACCGAGATCCTGTCATGTACCTGGACTCTGAGGGAGAAAAGAAACACTGGCTAACCTTACGCTCAACACAAACATTTTTCTCATACGAACCACACTTTTATTCTTTTGATGAAAGCGATCATGAGTTCAACAATGACTTCATTTCCATCTGAATCCTCAAGACTGACAAAAGTAAAGTACACTCCTCCCGGTCTGACAAAACCTGTTGAAGATACTTTAAGAGCTTAAACTAGACGGAAATCAATTTCTACTTGAAAGGTAGCAGCTTTAAACAAAGTTAAAGTGAAAAGTTCATTCACTTTGACAAAAACAATTATGCCACTGAAAAATATTATTCTCCATATTTTACTCACGGTTATCTATAATGCACACAATGTATCAGCTGTCCCGCTGGCTCACAATTGAAGGTCGAGAAAAACAAACAATGGCTATTGGCTTGATTATAATACTAAATCTGACCTGTGTGTGCAGACACACTTAATCACTGTTTTAAAAAAAATACACGAAGAAGAAACATACATACTTAAAGTTTGAAAACTGTTTTTTCTATGTTCAATTAATGATACTGCAATACTGTGATATAAACTTTGAAATTACTGGTCATTACTGTATATCAAAAATGATTTTTTTCTTTTTCAATCTTTAAGTGTTAAACTTTGAGGACTTTAATAATGAAACCAAAGCAACATCAAGATTTAAGCAAAGATAAACTGAAAGAGAACATGTAATGAAAATACCAGTGATGCATTTTAAAACAAACCAAATTAAAAATGTAGACGCTTTTTCAGCCAGCTCCTAATGTAGTGAACTCAACTTAAACTTAAGACCAATCTTAAGTCGCCACGCGCTGACACTTTTTAGAGAATAAACAGCAAAGTAAAGACAAAAGTAGTATTTAATCCCACCTCACATGCATCCCATACTTTACCTGAAGAGATGGTAAACAAAGACAAGTAGAACCTGTGGCAGCTAAAAGAAACCAAAACTTAAAGAATCCTGCAGTGCTGCAAAAACTTGCCAGAGAAACAGCGTGCACTAGCACATCAGGACACAGTGTTTGCCCATTGAGCTCTCAAACCTCTCTCATTTCTCTCTCTCCCTCTCCCTCTCTCCCTCCCTTGTTGTCCCTCTCTCTCTGACTTGCAACCACACACACTTACACACATGCCGCGCTCAGAGACGAACAGGCGCGCAGACGTACAGTATGCAGAGATGGATGCATAGATGCATGCGCTCAGACAGAAGATACTGGGGAAACATTATGCAAGCGCAGACATGCACACTTTGAAGCCTGGTTTGGCACATACAATAACAACATGAGCGGCAACAAATAATGAACTGAGTGCAGCTCTGACACAGTATGGTCATGGCAGAACTCTCATTAAAGCAGACACACACACGCACACACACACTGTGGACAGGGGAAGTCCTACCCTTGAGTAGCTGTGTGCCAATGTGGGGCTCTGTGTCAGGGTGCTACTTGCTACTGTCTTGCACACACACAGACTGAAACAATGCCTGGTAAATCCCTGCTGGAGTTCTCACACTCCCTCTTTTTCCATTTTCCTCCTTAGCTCTTTATGCTTTTAAATTCCCCTCATCTGTCAATCTGTGGTCCCCTCCTTCAATTTCTATCTTCTACTGTTCAAGTTCTTTCCTTGTGTCACCTGCTATGGAGAGATTACACTTTTGCTGCTTTGACTCCTGTTGCACATAACATTTGAGTCTTGTTCTACATGAGCAGTACATGCATTATATTCAGATGTTAGAGTGTGAGGTATGTTGTCAAATAATCTAAAAAAAAAGACATTTTTATCAATTTACAAGCCGACTTCTGCGTGTTTATAATGTGTTAAGAGCTATACACCCTAGTAGAAAACCGAGCTTGCTGCTGGTGTTGCTGCAAGGTCAGACGTGTAAGTCCCTGAATAATCTTGCTCAGTGCAAGGCTGCGGTGCTGGGCAGCTCCCAGGTCGGACTGTACTCCCCCAGGTCATTGCTGCAATCTAAGCATTTTTGCCTGCTTAAGTAAAGTTTAAAAATAAAAGCGTTCTATATACTGAATAGATCAAATTGTCACACACTGAACAGTAAAATGTTTGTCAAAATATTATACAGTTTTAAAGAAGAAATACAAAAAAGTCTCAGTAAAAGCAGCTCGCAACTCTCCGTCTATGGTGCATTTTGACTTCACTTCATACATCATGTGTGCAGGCAGGCACTGAGGTCCAGAAAGACACAAGCACAGCCATGCAAACGCTTTCTCACGCTACCCATGTTGCATGAACTATATCTGCAATCACACGGTTCAGTGGGAGCAATCCTAAATTGCCATTTATAAAATGCTGAATGAGTAATTAAAGCAAATGTCATGCTGGAATTTAAAAGCCCTCCCCATCATGAGCCGTAGATCAGCTCCTGAGCATTTGCTTCTGAAATCCCTGAGAGATCCCGAGGGGCGCCTGCTCACTGTATCTCTTACTTTAAAACAACTCGCAAAGCTTTGGGCTCAGTGCCAGCTTTTGTAAGCTCACTGTTTTTGAACACAGACCAACACCCTATAGTGTGGGCTACAGACGTCAGGAATGGTTGAGTAAAAATAATGTGCTTATCAGAGTCTGCTTTGGCAACTCTCAGGGGGTTTCCTGAATAGTTTTGGACTCGAGACAGTGGCAACTGGGAAAAAAAGGAAAAGAAACAAGATCAAGAATTTGATAAAATACCTATAGTATCTATGTGTCTTTCTGTCTGGATCTGAGTCTGCCCAATAGGCGATTTTTGGAGGGTGATATAGCAAGTTTAAATTTGAGAATTGGAACTTATCAGTGCTCTCTGGTGGACAACATTTGTAATGGAGACACTGTGTGTTTCTCAAATTCGAGTGTGCCATGGGATTCTGTGATAACCACACATTATTATGGCAATATTCAACTGGGCCTATACAAAAAGTTTTGAATGAATTTTCAATTGACTGTATCAGTAGATGTCCTAATAAAGAGGCAAACTCTAACTAAAAAATGTTTGCCGTTCAGACGTAGGAATCATAAGTGTGTCACACATCAAAAGGCCTGACTGCCAGCCAGTGTGAGGGATGGTAACATCTAAAAGGAGACAATGGGTCGCTTCATTGTACAGAGCAAATTACAACAAAGCACCAGCGATGACCACTGAACGCTGGAAAAAAAAGTGCAAAAAACAAAAAAAAAAAAAAACTGTCAGTAAAAAGTATCATGAACGCTACCTGTCTTATTTTTCTTATGTCATGATAAGAGTGAAAACACGTGTTGTAGAAGCTATTGTGCACAGATATAAATACAGGTGTGCCTTGAGATTTTGGCTCACCCTTTGATGTACCTTGGACACAAAAAGTTTGAAAACCACTGCCTCAAACTATACTTTGCATTTCAGGACTGCACTTCTTTGTGACCTATTGGTCAACATTTACAGTGATTCAGATCTGTGAAAAGATATATCGGCATATATACAAAAGTGGGTATCTACAGTATCTGTCATTATATAAATTAAATTTCGTTATTATAAAAATAATTTCCAAATGTACATAATCAAATTTCAATCTCTGCTGATTACCATATTAAAAAACCCAATAAAGGAATGAAAGAGACATCTTTTGTTGGGCCAGCTCTTAAGGTATGCATAATCAGATGTCTTTGCTTTGCTATTGCAGCTTAGCAGACAGCATGGATTAGAAATTCTCCATTCTTTCATGAATAAGGCTCTTGAGGGCAGTTGGTAGTAAGAAAGATCATCCGTCAGCTGGACAGCTTGAGTCAAATCCTCTTTGTCAACAGACACCTGTCCTGATAAGATTGTCTCTGAGCAAGCTCTAGATTCCTGAATGATCATTATGTAACTTGCTGTGGCAAGTTAAGTAAAGTATTTATGATTGGCAGCCCGTATCATTTCACGTTTTTAATCTTTAAGGATGTTTTATACTGATAAAACCAATATGACTCATGTATCTTAATCACACTTTGAATAAACTGTTTAACGTGGGTATAAAATACTGCAAATACATGCAGTGTTTTGGATACAAACATATTTACAGTATATTATTAACAGATGTCTTCTCAGCAAATCTTTTGCATGGATAAATGTGGAGAATTTCTATTCTTCAACTGAGCTCAGGGATTTTTCCGCAGTAATGTGCTTTCACTCAAACCTCAATAATTTGGGAGAACAGGCACACCACACATACGCACAGGTGCTTTAAAAAACACAGGAGCGCTTTCACATTAACCTTTTGTCTCATTCGCTCTCAACAGCCCCCTCTTTTACTGACACAAACTCTTGTTTTGTACTCTTAGACACGCACACATACTGTAGGAGAGAGGGAGACCAACTTGACAAAATAATTATTGGGTCCTAATTCATAAAATCCTTGCTTTGCTCTGCAAGATTTCTACTGTGCTCCACTAGTGTGGCCTATAGTTTCCCATGCCCACCTGACATCATGCCAACTCAAGCCCTGGCTAATTGAAAAATAAACAGTGTCGGCAGACAAGGGTGGGGAACACCGTTCAGTGCATGATAAGTTGCTAGTGAGAGCCTCAACACTGCCGCTGCCACATCTGCACAAACAACACTTAACTAGTCAGTGAAACTTGTAGTGCTTCAAGAGGAAACTACTCCCAGGAGAAAAGAAAAACACTTCTGGCTGTTACATGTCCCACATTGAGGGGCAGCCTGATAAGTAGACACACAAACAAGTTTTAAGTGGCAAATTGTCAAGACACGCATAGTAACCTGCCCCTAAGGAGAGATTTACTTCCATCCACTGTGCAGTGGTTGCAAATGTGGGAAATAAAAGTGGGCATTATTGAATTATGGCGATTTTGCTTCGACCGTGACTGTGTAAAATCTGGTGGCTCCATCATGCACCCAAGACAACTCGGACATACACAAACAATAGTCAGTCTCAGGCAGTGGTCATCATTAACCGCGGCATGTTGTTGTCACAGCCTACAGAGGGGCTCAAACACGTGTGGTAATACAAACAACTATCTACACCATGTTCAGCTTTTACTTGTTTAGCTGTTACGTTACATATTGCGGTTTATTATCATTAGATTTTGTTGTACTCCTGCGGTCCTATCTTACAGAAAGGGAACCTCAGTTTCAGATTCATAAACCCACGCCTCACTTTCTCGCCATCATCTTTCAACATCAATTCTCCTACAACATGCAAAACATAACTGCAACATATTCCCTCATCCTCGTCAGTAACTAGTACTAATCTAACCTCCTCTGCGTTTGAGCATATGAAATAGTTATCCCAATCATCCAGTTGAGTTACAAGCAGTCAGAGCGGAGAGAAGATGCATTGGGACCAAACACATTACCCACGTGCACAATAAAGACTTGTCTATGGACTGAGAAATATCCGTAATGATTAATGACAGCTTTCTGTAGATAAATTCCTGTTTGCATCTTCAGTGACACCTTGGTCACAATGAAATGGTCTGAAATAAATCACATGTGTCACTGAGAGATAAGCAGGAATGTTTAAACTGTTCACACATTTTCATATAAAAATTGAGGAAGAAGACAATGACAGAATAATTTAACCAAAACCACTGGACTGTAGGCTTTAAACAAATTTTGATGCAAGGACAAAAGGGAACATGGAAGTTGAAATAATTTGCACTTTTTATCGCAGTAGATGGTGCACATTTGTGAATCTTAAAGGGACAAAGCAAAGATCTGCCCTACTCTCCGTATGACTGGCTAGTGCTCATTGCCTTTGTTGGTTGGATTGGTTAGGTTTAGGCAAGAGGAGTGCGACTGGTTACGGTTAGGGTTAGAATGTCAGGGTAAGCCAATCAGAGGTTTACAAAGCTCTTTTACCTTCTTACATCAGTTCAGTGCTTTCTTTTAATGTGGGCTCCTCTTACCAAACTCAGTCTAGTGATTGGATTACACTCCAGGTGCCGGCTGCTTTTACCGAACTCGGAAAATTCCGTTTTTCATATTGTGCACCAGGAACAACATGCAGAACAATGAAAAATGTTCCTCTTTTTAATCTATAGGGCAACTCAAATCTTCAAC